GAGAACTTGCACAATTGGTGGCTGACTTTTTTGCCCCACTGTATGTTCTTAAATCGGACTCTGAGGAGCACAGGGACTGGCCTCCTGCTCTGAGGAGCACAAGGACTGGCCTCCTGCTGGGACTCTGAGGAGCACAGGGACTGGCCTCGTGCTGGGACTCTGAGGAGCACAGGGACTGGACTCCTGCTGGGACTCTGAGGAGCACAGGGACTGGCCTCCTGCTGGGACTCTGAGGAGCACAGGGACTGGCCTCGTGCTGGGACTCTGAGGAGCACAGGGACTGGACTCCTGCTGGGACTCTGAGGAGCACAGGGACTGGCCTCGTGCTGGGACTATGAGGAGCACAGGGACTGGACTCCTGCTGGGACTCTGAGGAGCACAGGGACTGGCCTCCTGCTGGGACTCTGATGAGCACAGGGACTGGACTCCTGCTGGGACTCTGAGGAGCACAGGGACTGGCCTCCTGCTGGGACTCTGATGAGCACAGGGACTGGACTCCTGCTGGGACTCTGAGGAGCACAGGGACTGGACTCCTTGCTAGTCCCAGAGTCAGGACTAAACATGGGGAGGCAGCATTTAAGATTTATGCAGCTAAAATCTGGAAGAGTCTTCCTGAAAATGTGAGACAGGCTTCTAGTCTGACAATGTTCAAATCCAGGTTAGAACAGTTCAGTTTAGCTGTGAATAACTGGGGGATTCTATCTTTCTGTGTTTATTGTGCCTTGTTCAGCACTTTGAGTTGCCTTGTGTATGAATTGTGCTATATAAATAAACCTGCCTTTCCTCTGTCCTTACACCCTTTTGCATTCTCTTACAGTTCTGTTCACAGCAGATTTGAAATATACATTTTAAAATGATATAGAACCGACAACAGTGCGTATATATGTTGCCGGCTCAGAAGGCCGACAACATCCCGGCCAAACAAGGTCAGGTGCTGGGGAACCAGAGCCCCTTAATGAAAAGTGGGCTACTGGAACAAGGTGAAAGTGGTCGAGATCTGATAACAGGGCTCTGTTGGAATGCTACTACTCGAGTAACCCTGGCCAAAGAGGTTACATGCAGAGAATGTGGGCTGAATGGTTACTTCGAAACCCACAGTCACAGTTGACCCCGAAACAACCGGTAGCTCAATGCTCCAACATCCACAAACGGCAACTGCTATCACAGCTTGAGATCGATGAGGTACAACACATGTATGATGCCAAAGGTGCCACAGTTACTGAGGTCAGAGGGGAGGTCCCACCAACTGCAACTCCCCAACCAGATATTGGGCACAAAGCCCCAATGGAACCAATAACGCTGAACGAGGCAGCGACTGACCTGAAAGCTAAAATCATGGCTAAAATGGGCACAGGGCAAAGACACCGGTTACAGCGGTTGTGTGAAGTACCACCTAAGGATCTCATAGAAAACGTGAATGCAGCAGTGAGGGCAATACCTACCACCACAATCACTGAAACCAATGAGCTGATATACACTTCAGCAGCAGTGATCCTAGAGATGCTTGGCTATAAGAGCAACCATGGGAGCCATGGACAATACCCACCATGGAAAAGACGGTTGGAGGCTGAGATCAAGGTGGCTCGGAGAGAAGTGAGTCAATTAACAGAGGCCCAGAGAGGTGCAATGAAAAGACCAGTACCCAGAAAGTACAGCCAGATAACCATACCTGAAGCACTCGAAACTGCCAAACAAATGCTCCAAGCCCTGGCCAGCCGCCTACAGAGGTACACTAAAGAGATTGAAGCCAGAAGGGTGAACAGGCTGTTCGCAACACAACCTGCGAAGGTGTACGCTCAGTGGCAGGGTAACAACAGGGTAACAACAGGGTAGCAACAGGGGAGCAGACCCACCGAGGCTGGAAACTGAACAGTTCTGGAAGAACATATGGGAGAAGGATGCAGCACATAACAGCAGTGCACAATGGCTGGTGTCCCTGAGAGAGGAGCACAGCCACCTCCCAGAACAGAACTCAGTTACCATCACAGAGGCAGACATCCGGGAAAGAGTCTCAGGTATGAAAAACTGGACAGCACCTGGCCCTGATATGGTCCATGCCTACTGGCTAAGGACACTCACATCACTCCATGAGCGCCTCGCAGCACAAATGGACCAGCTGCTGAGAGATGGGTCTCACCCAGAATGGCTAACCGAAGGGCGAACGGTCCTGATCATGCAGTCCCCTCCAACTACCGGCCAATAACTTGTCTCTCCACAACATGGAAGCTCATGTCAGGTATCATTGCGGCTAAGATAAGTGGGCATATGGAACAATTCATGAGCACAGCACAGAAGGGCATTGGTAGGGACACCAGAGGAGCCAAACACCAGCTCCTGTAGAGACACCAGAGGAGCCAAACACCAGCTCCTGGTTGACAGAACAGAAATGTAGCAGGATGGTGACTCGGAGAGACAAGGTAGTCCACACAGAAGGGATCTCACTCCCAGAGGGAACAATAGCAGACGTTGAGGACAGTTACAAGTATCTCGGTATACCACAGGCAAATGGCAACCTCGAACAGGCAACGAGAAAAGCGGCAACTGCCAAATACCTCCAGCGAGTAAGGCAGGTCCTAAGAAGCCGGCTCAATGGCAAGAACAAGGCTCGGGCAATTAACAGCTACGCCCTGCCAGTGATCAGATACCCTGCAGGAATAATCAGGGGCCAAAGGAAGAGATTCAGACCACGGATGTTAAAACTCGAAAGCTCCTTACCATGCATGGCGGGTTACATCCCAAATCCAGCACCCTGAGACTGTACGTAAGCCGTAAAGAAGGAGGCCGAGGACTAGTGAGTGTGAGAGCCACTGTCCAGGACGAAACATCCAAACTCCATAACTACATCATGGAGAAGGCCAAAACGGATGACGTACTCAGTGAATGTCTCAGGCAGTGGCGAGATGAGGAGGTGCTGGAGGAGAGCCCATCATGGGAGAACAAGCCCCTACACGGCATGTACCACGGCACCGGAGCATAACAGAAGTGGCTGATCTCAAGAAGTCCTACCAATGGCTAGAAAGGGCTGGCCTACAGGACAGCACAGAGGCACTCATCATGGCTGCACAGGAACAGGCACTGAGCACCAGAGCGATAGAGGCCCAGATATACCACACCAGACAAGACCCAAGGTGTCGGTTGTGCAAAGAGGCACCTGAGACACTCCAACACATAACTGCAGGGTGCAAGATGCTGGCAGGGAAGGCCTACATGGAACGCCATAACCAAGTGGCTGCATAGTGTACAGAAACATCTGTGCAGAGTATGGGCTGGAAACCCCAAGGTCTAAGTGGGAAACTCCTCCAAAGGTGGTGGAAAATGAGCAAAGATCCTGTGGGACTTCCAGATACAGACCGACCGAATGGTAATGAACCAACCCGACATCGTGGTGGTGGACAAAGGGCAGAGGACAGCCGTGGTGGTGGACAAAGGGCAGAGGACAGCCGTGGTGGACAAAGGGCAGAGGACAGCCGTGGTGGTAGACAAAGGGCAGAGGACAGCCGTGGTGGTGGACAAAGGGCAGAGGACAGCCGTGGTGGTGGACAAAGGGCAGAGGACAGCCGTGGTGGTGGACAAAGGGCAGAGGACAGCCGTGGTGGTGGACAAAGGGCAGAGGACAGCCGTGGTGGTGGACAAAGGGCAGAGGACAGCCGTGGTGGTGGACAAAGGGCAGAGGACAGCCATGGTGGTGGACACAGGGCAGAGGACAGCCGTGGTGGTGGACAAAGGGTAGAGGACAGCCGTGGTGGTGGACAAAGGGTAGAGGACAGCCGTGGTGGTGGACAAAGGGCAGAGGACAGCCGTGGTGGTGGACAAAGGGCAGAGGACAGCCGTGGTGGTGGACGTGGCAATTCCAAGCGAAAGTAAGTAAGTAAGTAATATTTATTTATATATACCGCCTTTTCACTACAGATCTGAGTCTCAAAGCGGTTTACAATTGTTAATTTTGGGCATTTGTCTCTCACTCCACACAGAGATGGGAGGGGCCAGTACAGGAGGCACATGCCAGAACTATTGGACATATTTTTAGTGGTAGGGGAAACCGGAGTACCCGGAGGAAACCTACGCAGACATGGGGAGAACATGCAAACTCCACTCAGAAAGGCCCTGGTCCGACCGGGATTCGAACCCAGGACCTTCTTGCTGAGAGGCGAGAGTGCTATCCACTCAGCCACCGTGCCGCCCGCCGCTTGAAAACGGACAAGAAGGAAGCTATGTGCCTATACAGGGGAATGGGAAGATAGTTCTCTCCTTCAATGCGGATGTCTGGGTAACGCTGGTATAAGGCCTGCGTATACTCAAACACCCGCTTGTACCCTCAGGAAATGCAAATTTGAAACTTGAGAAGGGGTCCTGCGGCAAACTGCATCTTCATCTTTTTCACCCCACTGCTGTCTCCAGACGTGGAGTGGTAAAACAAGCAAAATCCCAGCAGAAGGAGCGGAAAACGCATCCATTTCACCGCCGCCATCTTTTCCGGAAAAAGGAACATGAAAATCTTGAGAAATACCAAGGTCTCAGAGAGGAGCTGGAGAGGGCCTGGAGGGTAAAGGTGACAGTAGTGCCCGTGGTGATCGGTGCACTCGGGGCAGTGACCCCGAAGCTAGAAGAGGTTACAGTGGATCCCTGGAACAACCTCGGACATCTGGGTCCAGAAATGTGCAGTGCTAGGAACAGCAAAGATACTGCGCAGAACCCTCAGGCTCCCAGGCCTCTGGTAGAGGACCCGAGCTTAGAGAGGGATAACCGCCCGCGGAGGGCCAAAGGTTAATGGACAGTTTTATATGTATGTATAGAATGTGGGGTGATTCTGGCCTCCTCACATGAACCAACTGTACCTTCCACGTTCACTGAGGCCATGTTGAACTGGTTCCTGGCCCGGGACATGTAATCCTGGATGTACCAGTGCGGAGTGTCGGCCGAGAAGTTCACATGGTACTCGCCCACTCTCTCCTCGGAGATGCCGTAAAACTTGGACTCAAAACCAGACGACAAAAGATTTTTCATCTGGAAACATGAGAGATGGTGTTACCCAGCGGATATGAAAGGAGGACAACGCACAAGAAAAACAGCAGAGGCCTAAAAAACATGTTTAGTTACATTTTAAAGAGTAGAAACGATAGGAGAGAGGTGTAGGGTCAGAGAGTGTTTGGGTCTAGGCTTGTGTGTGTGTACTTTGGAAATAATCTTAATACATAAAACATTTTATTTATATGGCACCTCGAGGTCGCATTACAAAGGGTACACAGTTAAAAGAAAAACAGTGTTGAGTGATATTGTTTTTCACCCAAAACCATGTCTATATTTGCTAATACTGACACTAAAATGCAAACAATAACAACTAAAACACTATTTTACATTATTAAAAATCCCACGTCACTGTTGGTCTAGTCCTGGAAGAGCGCCTGTTTTAATAAAGCACAATATGATATACTGGAAAAAGATCTTAAAATATGAATAATAACAATAATAATGATTTATCCTATCATTATTATTATGATGATTATTATTATTATTATTATTATCATTATCATTATTATTATTATTGTTATTATTAGGCCTTGTTTGGACAGGGTTGGACAGTGTCATTCCTCCACTCCATACTCAGTGGTGATAAAATACTGGTGTGTTGGGGTTGCCTTTGGTGCATGAACGACGGAGACTTTTCTGTCACATTTCTGAAGATTTGTCTGTCTTTTGCTTAACCCTAAAACGCCATTCGCTGCGGAATCCAGGACACTTTCTATACAGCAACTTTTACTTTTTATTGCAGATGGGTTTTATGGATTATTGTTTCTTGTGGTCCACTGATGACTGCTGCCGTTGTGTCCTTGGGCAAGACACTTAACCCCACTTTGCCTGAAGCCCCTGCTGAAAGATCAAGGCCCCTGTGGACTCAGCACCTGCAGGAGGATCAGTGAGGGGCTGGGGCTCTGTGGACTGGGTGCAGCTCTGACTGCCACCCCCCCCGACCCAGAAATGGATTAAGGGGAAGAAAATGGATGGATATTTCTTGTGGTCTGAGAATCTGGCACCCCATCTTTAAATTAATCTGCTTTGTCGATAGAAAACTGTTTGATTTTTTTTGTACGACATAAAAACTCCATTAGGCAAAAACATATATCTAAAAACGTTTTAAAATGTTAAACAAAAACAAAGAAGTAAATTAGAACCTTTTGGAGTCCATTCTGCTCCCGCCATCCCACAGACATTTTGAATATATTTGATCCTAAAACACACAATTATGAGTCATATTTATAAGTCTTGTATAAGTTATAATTGTATCTTCTTACCTGGAGGATTGGCCGAGTTACCTGCAAATAAAACCACATTTTTATATTTTAACGTTCATGATAGATCTTGGTCATTATTTTAATCTTTTATGTTTTACATTTGAGTAGTTTTATCTCCCAGATAAGAGCCGCTGCTAGTTTCCATAGCAACGCACTGTTTAGTTAGCAGGAGTTAGCATTTAGCCTTTCATCTGTTTTTCAAGTTATATTCACCAGTTTTAGCACTTAGTAAAAGTGATGACAAACCAATCAAAACAAAACATGTTCAGGGGTAATTACTCAGATTTCATCGGTTTAAATGGGAGCAGTGAAAATGGCGGCTCAGAGTTGTAATATAATTCCTAATCCATAATGAGATTTCAAAAGTGTATAATAGTTTAGTTACTATAGTCTAGTATAGTGATGTTAGTATAGTGTAGTATAGTATAGTGATGTTAGTATAGTGTAGTGTAGTGTAGTATAGTATAGTATAGTATAGTATAGTGTAGTGTAGTGTAGTATAGTGTAGTGTAGTGTAGTATAGTGTAGTATAGTATAGTATAGTAAAGTAGAGTATAGTGTAGTATAGTATAGTATAGTAAAGTAGAGTATAGTGTAGTATAGTATAGTATAGTAAAGTAGAGTATAGTCTAGTATAGTATAGTGTAGTATAGTGTAGTGTAGTGTAGTATAGTGTAGTATAGTATAGTATAGTATAGTGTAGTGTAGTGTAGTATAGTGTAGTCTAGTCTAGTATAGTATAGTATAGTATAGTATAGTGTAGTGTAGTATAGTATAGTATAGTTAAGTAGAGTATAGTGTAGTATAGTATAGTATAGTAAAGTAGAGTATAGTGTAGTATAGTATAGTATAGTCTAGTGTAGTGTAGTGTAGTATAGTATAGTGTAGTATAGTATAGTATAGTGTAGTATAGTATAGTATAGTATAGTATAGTATAGTAAAGTAGAGTATAGTGTAGTATAGTTTAGTATAGTAAAGTAGAGTATAGTGTAGTATAGTATAGTATAGTATAGTGTAGTATAGTATAGTATAGTACAGTGTAGTATAGTATAGTATAGTATAGTGTAGTGTAGTATAGTATAGTACAGTGTAGTATAGTATAGTATAGTGTAGTGTAGTATAGTATAGTATAGTGTAGTATAGTATAGTATAGTATAGTAAAGTAGAGTATAGTGTAGTATAGTATAGTATAGTAAAGTAGAGTATAGTGCTGTTGCTGTACCACATCCGTCAGTATTCTTTCCGTCTGTGTATCTACAGACACAGGACACAGACCCTGGCGTGTTCCGACACTCGTACTTAGCGTTGGGACAGGTGTCCAGATTTAAACACTCGTTTATGTCTGTGGTTCAAACAATAAAAACATGTTCAGTTGTAAAGAACATTTTATGATTAATGATTATTTATGACACAATAATACTAGTGTTTTTTACCTGTGCAGTTAAAGCCGTTCCCAGAGAATCCAGACTTACAAGTGCAGTTGAAGGCGGATCTTCCACTTTTACAAACGGCGTCTTTGTGGCACGGGAAGTCGTGAGGAGGCTGGCAGAAGTCTGACACATGAAGAGAATACAGTAAGAGTAGTGAGTAACTGAGTACTATTACAGGAGAGAGAGAGTGTGTGTGTGTATGTGTATGTGTATTTGTATGTGTATGTGTATTTGTATGTGTATGTGTATGTGTATGTGTATGTGTATGTGTATGTGTATGTGTATGTGTGTGTGTGTGTATGTGTGCGTGCGTGTGTGTGTATGTGTATGTGTATGTGTATGTGTATGTGTGTGTGTGTGCGTGCGTGCGTGCGTGCGTGTGTATGTGTATGTGTATGTGTATGTGTGTGTGTGTGCGTGCGTGCGTGCGTGCGTGTGTGTGTGTATGTGTATGTGTATGTGTATGTGTGTGTGTGTGTGTGCGTGCGTGTGCGTGCGTGCGTGCGTGTGTGTGTGTATGTGTGTGTGTGTGCGTGTGTGTGTGTGCGTGAGAGGGCTTTGGAGCCAAATACACGTCTTCTTCGTCCAATCCCTTTTCAAACTGTGTGTGTTTACTTTAATCCGGTTTGATTTGAATGCGTCTGAACATATATTTGATTGATTAGATATATTTTATCTAGATCACAGCTCCATCTAGTGGCCGGCCTTGTAACATAAACGAAACCAGAGCCAAGCCTCACACAGTCATAAAGAAATTCCCCAAACTAATCCAGAGACAATACTTTTGTTTCATAGAACAGAAACAGCTCTGTCCATCGCTTCATTGTAATCCTTTGTACCAAGTTCTGTACCATCAGCATCTAACGATAGTCCTATTTTCTTTGGTGTTTTTGATATGATAAATATTGACTAGAAACAGTTTGTGACGGACCTTGCTCAAAGCACTTGTAGCCTTCTTTTCCGTTAGCCACAGTTTTGTCGGGACACGGCCCACAGCGGAAGTCTCCGGCTGGAAACACAGGAGCACAGGCCACTCCCGGGAAACAGGGAAGTCCGTTACAAACGTCTGTGGCCTTTTCACAAAATGCTCCTCCAAACCCTGGACGACACAAACAGCCGACCACCTGCACAAAGGACTCAGAGTCAGGGAAGAGAGGCTATTGTGGTATAGTGAACCGGAGCGCCTGGAGGAAACTTGAGATTAATAGATCCAAAAAAAATGTCCCACTTCTTTCCCGCTGGGGTTTTTGAGTCGTTCTGCCAATGTTGATGATTGGTGGTGATGATTTGGGACATTTAAGGACATTCAACCCCATAACCCTCTATTTCAACATAATGTTCAAAGTTCAAAAGATTTATGCCTTTTTGGTTTAATACTTTAACTAACGTATCCCAAGAACCCAAAAAAGCAAATATGCTACATGCCAAAGTTGGTCATTGAACACTTCTTTCCAAAAATAGCACATTACATATTTTTTTGTCTGGGTTCTACAGGCTAAGGACACTTATGGACATAGCTCACTCTCTATGAATCAACGGCGTCATGTGTTTTTCATCATTACATTCCTGTTTTTAACTGATTCTCCAATCTGTTGTTGGGAAATCAACAACTTTGTAAAGTCCTCTGAGCTGACTGCGGTTGTGATTTGAATGACCCTGAGAGCCGTGTGTCTCACCTGGAACTTGCCCAGCAGGTGGCTCTGTGTGGGGCGGTGGTACTGGCAGGTGCCTCCGTTCACACAGTTGCACAGTTTGAGGGTGGGCACGAACAGAGAGCTGGAGGCTGAGTCACTTAGCTTCACCTGGATCTGGACCGGGCTGAGGCTGAGGGGGGTCCACGACAACACGCCGCTGCCTGCACAGATAATTATATCTTTAACTCACAATAATAATATTTGCCTCTGATCAAGTGTAGTTGAATATACTGTACGACCAGAAGGTGAGATTCTGGCAAGCATAATGTAAGTATTCATTACGCTGACATGCTGCAGTACCACCCCGGGCCTGTGGGGGTGGGCCCGGAATAAGAATTAGCCAATGCTAACATATAGCATCTTCTGACCTCTGGAAAACGTCTTTACAGGATGGACCAAAAGTTGTCTCTTGGCCCAAAGCTCCGTTCCACATGTGTGTCAATGCTGAGTGTTCTGGACCAGTCTAGTTTAGTCGCTGTGGACTTTAGAAGTCTCTCGTTTAAATGAAAGGGGCTCGTGCAGCTGACGCATGCGCAGATGTGTTTTTTCACATTTTCCAACACCCGCGGCCATTTTGAATCACTCCATTAGAGCCCAATTTTTGGCGCATTAGTAGAACGGCGGTTCGAACTACATCCGTTAATATATCTCTGGAACAGTCTGAGGAGGAGCTCAGGACCGCAGAGAACATTCATATTTTTAAAAGCAGGCTCAAGACGCACCTTTTTAGATTTTTGCTTTTGAGTAGTATTTTGTTTTTTTTATTCCGTTTTAGTACATTTATTTATGCTTTTAGACACATTATATTTTTGGGTTTTTATTTTATTTATTTTATCTACCCATTTTCTATTTGTTATTATTAATATTAGGCAGCTGTCATTTTCTTTTTAGTGTCACATTTTAATGTTTAACTTTCTATTGTACTGTTTTGGTATCCCAGTGTTTCCTCTGGAAGAGCCCTCTGCACCGGGAGCTGGGGTCTGCTCTGGGTCCTATGAGGGTCTGGCTCTTGGATCCGGTGGGGGTTTGGGGCCTCCTCTCTCCTCTGGGTCCTATGGGGTCTGAGTCCTGGGCCTGGTGGGGTCTGGGGCCCCTCTCTCCTCTGGGTCCTATGGGGTCTGAGTCCTGGGCCTGGTGGGGTCTGGGGCCCCTCTCTCCTCTGGGTCCTATGGGGTCTGAGTCCTGGGCCTGGTGGGGTCTGGGGCCCCTCTCTCCTCTGGGTCCTATGGGGTCTGAGTCCTGGGCCTGGTGGGGTCTGGGGCCCCTCTCTCCTCTGGGTCCTATGGGGTCTGAGTCCTGGGCCTGGTGGGGTCTGGGGCCCCTCTCTCCTCTGGGTCCTATGGGGTCTGAGTCCTGGGCCTGGTGGGGTCTGGGGCCCCTCTCTCCTCTGGGTCCTATGGGGTCTGAGTCCTGGGCCTGGTGGGGTCTGGGGCCCCTCTCTCCTCTGGGTCCTATGGGGTCTGAGTCCTGGGCCTGGTGGGGTCTAGGGCCCCTCTCTCCTCTGGGTCCTATGGGGTCTGAGTCCTGGGCCTGGTGGGGTCTGGGGCCTCCTCTCTCCTCTGGGTCCTATGGGGTCTGAGTCCTGGGCCTGGTGGGGTCTAGGGCCCCTCTCTCCTCTGGGTCCTATGGGGTCTGAGTCCTGGGCCTGGTGGGGTCTGGGGCCCCTCTCTCCTCTGGGTCCTATGGGGTCTGAGTCCTGGGCCTGGTGGGGTCTAGGGCCCCTCTCTCCTCTGGGTCCTATGGGGTCTGAGTTCTGGACCTGGTGGGGTCTGGGGCCCCTCTCTCCTCTGGGTCCTATGGGGTCTGAGTCCTGGGCCTGGTGGGGTCTGGGCCCCCTCTCTCCTCTGGGTCCTATGGGGTCTGAGTCCTGGGCCTGGTGGGGTCTGGGGCCCCTCTCTCCTCTGGGTCCTATGGGGTCTGAGTCCTGGGCCTGGTGGGGTCTGGGGCCCCTCTCCCCTCTGGGTCCTATGGGGTCTGAGTCCTGGGCCTGGTGGGGTCTGGGGCCCCTCTCTCCTCTGGGTCCTATGGGGTCTGAGTCCTGGGCCTGGTGGGGTCTGGGGCCCCTCTCTCCTCTGGGTCCTATGGGGTCTGAGTCCTGGGCCTGGTGGGGTCTGGGGCCCCTCTCTCCTCTGGGTCCTATGGGGTCTGAGTCCTGGGCCTGGTGGGGTCTGGGGCCCCTCTCTCCTCTGGGTCCTATGGGGTCTGAGTCCTGGGCCTGGTGGGGCCTGGGGCCCCTCTCTCCTCTGGGTCCTATGGGGTCTGAGTCCTGGGCCTGGTGGGGTCTGGGGCCCCTCTCTCCTCTGGGTCCTATGGGGTCTGAGTCCTGGGCCTGGTGGGGTCTGGGGCCCCTCTCCCCTCTGGGTCCTATGGGGTCTGAGTCCTGGGCCTGGTGGGGTCTGGGGCCCCTCTCTCCTCTGGGTCCTATGGGGTCTGAGTCCTGGGCCTGGTGGGGTCTGGGGCCCCTCTCTCCTCTGGGTCCTATGGGGTCTGAGTCCTGGGCCTGGTGGGGTCTGGGGCCCCTCTCTCCTCTGGGTCCTATGGGGTCTGAGTCCTGGGCCTGGTGGGGTCTGGGGCCCCTCTCTCCTCTGGGTCCTATGGGGTCTGAGTCCTGGGCCTGGTGGGGCCTGGGGCCCCTCTCTCCTCTGGGTCCTATGGGGTCTGAGTCCTGGACCTGGTGGGGCCTGGGGCCCCTCTCTCCTCTGGGTCCTGTGTCGTTGCCTGTGGCTGCAGCCGGCTCTCTGCTCCTGGTGCAGATGGCTCCTTGGATGGCGCTTCTTCAGCCGGTTACATCTGCTCCCAGCCCCATTTCTTTTTATTGTTTTACCTATTTTATTGTGTTTAACTTAACTGTAAAGCACTTTGTGTTACATTTTTGTTGTATGAAAAGCGCTTTATTAATAAATTGATTGATTGATTGATATATACAGTCTGTGATTCAGACACAGCTGCTACTGTGATGACTACTTTCTCTGAAACATGAAGACAACATTTAATCTATTTTCAAATACAAGCATAAAGACATAAAGAAAGATAGGTCTAGGACTGAAAATGAAAGAAAAAGAATATGAAAACCTTAATATTGTGCTGGTCTAGATGTTGATGGAGCGCTCCTTAGCGCCATGGTTACGCTCTCTTAAAGGGACAGTATGTGATATGTACTCTCAGTGAAACAGATGTTGTTCTATTGGTTCACCTGTTCACGCCTCTCTCTGTGAAAAATAAAGGTTTTCTTATCTTATATACTGTATTTTATACAGAGATTTTGTGGCATCTACAAATAACAACATCTCTTTGACCTGTTGAAACTGTCAGCATGTGTGTGTGGACGAAGGCCTCACCGTCCAGATTGACGCGCAGAGGTCGGGGGAACCTCAGGGAGAAGGAGATGGGGTCTCCGTTTGAGTCTCGAGCTGACAGCTGCACTCGGACTGTAGAGTTCACTGTGGCCCAGATCTCCAGAGGCTCCGTGACTATGGGAGGCATGTTCCCTGACACAGAACAGGAGAAAATACATAAATATACAGAATATATGTGCAGGAAACAGATTTCAAAGGCCCATGTTTGTACTTTAGTTCAAACTCTAGAATTAGAATCTCGTTCATTTATTTCTGTAACACAACAAACCTTTGATTGTATCATTTTCATCTGTTTATTGGAGACAGAAATGTCCGTAGCTCTATCTATGACATCACAGATCAGTCAGATGTTGTGGATGTTTAGATGTTCATTTCTTGTTATAGAATTCACTTCTTCAGTATAAAATTTAGATCACTAAAATCTACTCATGTTTTTGATAAGGAGACAGTGTAACAAGTTCAAAAGTCTGTTTTGCTGATGGTACCTACCATAGAGCTGTTTGGTCTGCTGGTGTCTCTGGTACCTACCATAGAGCTGTGTGGTCTGCTGGTGTCTCTGGTACCTACCATAGAGCTGTGAGGTCTGCTGGTGTCTCTGGTACCTACCATAGAGCTGTGTGGTCTGCTGGTGTCTCTGGTACCTACCATAGAGCTGTGTGGTCTGCTGGTACCTACCATAGAGCTGTGTGGTCTGCTGGTGTCTCTGGTACCTACCATAGAGCTGTGTGGTCCGCTGGTACCTACCATAGAGCTGTGTGGTCTGCTGGTACCTTCCATAGAGCTGTGTGGTCCGCTGGTACCTACCATAGAGCTGTGTGGTCCGCTGGTACCTACCATAGAGCTGTGTGGTCCGCTGGTACCTACCATAGAGCTGTGTGGTCTGCTGGTACCTTCCATAGAGCTGTGTGGTCTGCTGGTGTCTCTGGTACCTACCATAGAGCTGTGTGGTCCGCTGGTACCTACCATAGAGCTGTGTGGTCTGCTGGTGTCTCTGGTACCTACCATAGAGCTGTGTGGTCTGCTGGTGTCTCTGGTACCTACCATAGAGCTGTGTGGTCTGCTGGTATCTCTGGTACCTACCATAGAGCTGTGTGGTCTGCTGGTGTCTCTGGTACTTACCATAGAGCTGTGTGGTCTGCTGGTGTCTCTGGTACCTACCATAGAGCTGTGTGGTCTGCTGGTGTCTCTGGTACATACCATAGAGCTGTGAGGTCCGCTGGTGTCTCTGGTACCTACCATAGAGCTGTGTGGTCTGCTGGTGTCTCTGGTACCTACCATAGAGCTGTGTGGTCTGCTGGTGTCTCTGGTACCTACCATAGAGCTGTGTGGTCTGCTGGTGTCTCTGGTACATACCATAGAGCTGTGTGGTCTGCTGGTGTCTCTGGTACATACCATAGAGCTGTGTGGTCTGCTGGTGTCTCTGGTACATACCATAGAGCTGTGAGGTCCGCTGGTGTCTCTGGTACATACCATAGAGCTGTGGGGTCTGCTGGTGTCTCTGGTACATACCATAGAGCTGTGGGGTCTGCTGGTGTCTCTGGTACATACCATAGAGCTGTGTGGTCCGCTGGTACCTACCATAGAGCTGTGTGGTCTGCTGGTGTCTCTGGTACCTACCATAGAGCTGTGTGGTCTGCTGGTGTCTCTGGTACATACCATAGAGCTGTGGGGTCTGCTGGTGTCTCTGGTACATACCATAGAGCTGTGTGGTCTGCTGGTGTCTCTGGTACATACCATAGAGCTGTGAGGTCCGCTGGTGTCTCTGGTACCTACCATAGAGCTGTGTGGTCTGCTGGTGTCTCTGGTACATACCATAGAGCTGTGTGGTCTGCTGGTGTCTCTGGTACATACCATAGAGCTGTGTGGTCTGCTGGTGTCTCTGGTACCTACCATAGAGCTGTGAGGTCCGCTGGTGTCTCTGGTACATACCATAGAGCTGTGAGGTCCGCTGGTGTCTCTGGTACATACCATAGAGCTGTGTGGTCTGCTGGTGTCTCTGGTACATACCATAGAGCTGTGTGGTCTACTGGTGTCTCTGGTACATACCATAGAGCTGTGTGGTCTGCTGGTGTCTCTGGTACATACCATAGAGCTGTGAGGTCCGCTGGTGTCTCTGGTATATACCATAGAGCTGTGTGGTCTGCTGGTGTCTCTGGTACATACCATAGAGCTGTGTGGTCTGCTGGTGTCTCTGGTACATACCATAGAGCTGTGTGGTCTGCTGGTGTCTCTGGTACATACCATAGAGCTGTGAGGTCCGCTGGTGTCTCTGGTATATACCATAGAGCTGTGTGGTCTGCTGGTGTCTCTGGTACATACCATAGAGCTGTGTGGTCTGCTGGTGTCTCTGGTACATACCATAGAGCTGTGTGGTCCGCTGGTACCTACCATAGAGCTGTTTGGTCTGCTGGTGTCTCTGGTATATACCATAGAGCTGTGTGGTCTGCTGGTGTCTCTGGTACATACCATAGAGCTGTGTGGTCTGCTGGTGTCTCTGGTACCTACCATAGAGCTGTGTGGTCTGCTGGTGTCTCTGGTACCTACCATAGAGCTGTGTGGTCTGCTGGTGTCTCTGGTACCTACCATAGAGCTGTGTGGTCTGCTGGTGTCTCTGGTACATACCATAGAGCTGTGTGGTCTGCTGGTGTCTCTGGTACATACCATAGAGCTGTGTGGTCTGCTGGTGTCTCTGGTACCTACCATAGAGCTGTGTGGTCTGCTGGTGTCTCTGGTACATACCATAGAGCTGTGTGGTCTGCTGGTGTCTCTGGTACCTACCATAGAGCTGTGTGGTCTGCTGGTGTCTCTGGTACCTACCATAGAGCTGTGTGGTCTGCTGGTGTCTCTGGTACCTACCATAGAGCTGTGTGGTCTGCTGGTGTCTCTGGTACCTACCATAGAGCTGTGTGGTCTGCTGGTGTCTCTGGTACATACCATAGAGCTGTGGGGTCTGCTGGTGTCTCTGGTACATACCATAGAGCTGTGTGGTCTGCTGGTGTCTCTGGTACATACCATAGAGCTGTGTGGTCTGCTGGTGTCTCTGGTACCTACCATAGAGCTGTGTGGTCTGCTGGTGTCTCTGGTACCTACCATAGAGCTGTGTGGTCTGCTGGTGTCTCTGGTACCTACCATAGAGCTGTGTGGTCTGCTGGTGTCTCTGGTACCTACCATAGAGCTGTGTGGTCTGCTGGTGTCTCTGGTACCTACCATAGAGCTGTGTGGTCTGCTGGTGTCTCTGGTACCTACCATAGAGCTGTGTGGTCTGCTGGTGTCTCTGGTACCTACCATAGAGCTGTGTGGTCTGCTGGTGTCTCTGGTACCTACCATAGAGCTGTGTGGTCTGCTGGTGTCTCTGGTACCTACCATAGAGCTGTTTGGTCTGCTGGTGTCTCTGGTATATACCATAGAGCTGTGTGGTCTGCTGGTGTCTCTGGTACATACCATAGAGCTGTGTGGTCTGCTGGTGTCTCTGGTACCTACCATAGAGCTGTGTGGTCTGCTGGTGTCTCTGGTACCTACCATAGAGCTGTGTGGTCTGCTGGTGTCTCTGGTACCTACCATAGAGCTGTGTGGTCTGCTGGTGTCTCTGGTACATACCATAGAGCTGTGTGGTCTGCTGGTGTCTCTGGTACATACCATAGAGCTGTGTGGTCTGCTGGTGTCTCTGGTACCTACCATAGAGCTGTGTGGTCTGCTGGTGTCTCTGGTACATACCATAGAGCTGTGTGGTCTGCTGGTGTCTCTGGTACCTACCATAGAGCTGTGTGGTCTGCTGGTGTCTCTGGTACCTACCATAGAGCTGTGTGGTCTGCTGGTGTCTCTGGTACCTACCATAGAGCTGTGTGGTCTGCTGGTGTCTCTGGTACCTACCATAGAGCTGTGTGGTCTGCTGGTGTCTCTGGTACATACCATAGAGCTGTGGGGTCTGCTGGTGTCTCTGGTACATACCATAGAGCTGTGTGGTCTGCTGGTGTCTTTGGTACATACCATAGAGCTGTGTGGTCTGCTGGTGCCTCTGGTACCTACCATAGAGCTGTGTGGTCTGCTGGTGTCTCTGGTACCTACCATAGAGCTGTGTGGTCTGCTGGTGTCTCTGGTACCTACCATAGAGCTGTGTGGTCTGCTGGTGTCTCTGGTACCTACCATAGAGCTGTGTGGTCTGCTGGTGTCTCTGGTACCTACCATAGAGCTGTGTGGTCTGCTGGTGTCTCTGGTACCTACCATAGAGCTGTGTGGTCTGCTGGTGTCTCTGGTACCTACCATAGAGCTGTGTGGTCTGCTGGTGTCTCTGGTACCTACCATAGAGCTGTGTGGTCTGCTGGTGTCTCTGGTACCTACCATAGAGCTGTGTGGTCTGCTGGTGTCTCTGGTACCTACCATAGAGCTGTGTGGTCTGCTGGTGTCTCTGGTACATACCATAGAGCTGTGTGGTCTGCTGGTGTCTCTGGTACCTACCATAGAGCTGTGTGGTCTGCTGGTGTCTCTGGTACATACCATAGAGCTGTGTGGTCTGCTGGTGTCTCTGGTACCTACCATAGAGCTGTGTGGTCTGCTGGTGTCTCTGGTACCTACCATAGAGCTGTGTGGTCTGCTGGTGTCTCTGGTACCTACCATAGAGCTGTGTGGTCTGCTGGTGTCTCTGGTACATACCATAGAGCTGTGTGGTCTGCTGGTGTCTCTGGTACCTACCATAGAGCTGTGTGGTCTGCTGGTGTCTCTGGTACCTACCATAGAGCTGTGTGGTCTGCTGGTGTCTCTGGTACCTACCATAGAGCTGTGTGGTCTGCTGGTGTCTCTGGTACCTACCATAGAGCTGTGTGGTCTGCTGGTGTCTCTGGTACCTACCATAGAGCTGTGTGGTCTGCTGGTGTCTCTGGTACCTACCATAGAGCTGTGTGGTCTGCTGGTGTCTCTGGTACATACCATAGAGCTGTGTGGTCTGCTGGTGTCTCTGGTACATACCATAGAGCTGTGTGGTCTGCTGGTGTCTCTGGTACCTACCATAGAGCTGTGTGGTCTGCTGGTGTCTCTGGTACCTACCATAGAGCTGTGTGGTCTGCTGGTGTCTCTGGTACCTACCATAGAGCTGTGTGGTCTGCTGGTGTCTCTGGGCGGCCCTCAGCGCCTCCTCCCCCAGCCTGTCGTCTCCCGTGGCCAGAGCGTCGTGGACACACTGCATGTTGCGGACACAGAGTCTCTGGAGCTGCAGGACTCTGGAGGGACTGGAGGTCTGCAGCAGGTCCTCAGAGGACACTGGAGTGAAGGGACCAGGAGGAGCAGAGAGCAGCATTGACTCAGGGACCGGGACTGCCCCTAGAGGCATACATGTGGGGTTAGAGGGGAACAGAGATGCAGAATAAGAAATATGATGCATTATTATTGTTCATTAAACTTGGTAATGAGACTATTTACTTTGACATTTTATATTTTAGAATGTCAAGTAACTAGAAAACGTATGGTATGAAGGTGAAAAAAATGCTTTCCACCTGTAACTCCCTATGCTACCACCAGAGGGAGACGTTTTATTATTGTTTTTTGCATTAATTTGAGCAAGTACAATTAGTATTTCTATTTACACAATAAGGAGAAACAGCTCAAACGGAGAAGCAAGAAAGTTTATAAGTGCCTACAACCATGATTAAAAATACCAGTTGCATACACAGCCATGCGTGTTATTGTAAAGAATGTAGTTTCACTAAATAAATACTAATAATAGAGTATGATGTCATCGTGGTACAATGACATCACACTATCACAGGACTGAGAGGAGCGGTAACACAGGGTGGAGTAGTATGTTTGCCCCAGAAGTTCCTGATTAGCATGGATAGATATAAAAACAACTCTAGGTCTGTTTTTGATGAGGGAACAAGGTAACATGGTCCAAAACTATCTCACAACATCTATTTAGCATAACATTTTAAGGCCCAACCTAGCATTACACATAATAGCATAGCATAGCATAGCATAGCATAGAATACAGGACAAACATAACATAGCATACAGTAGCATAGCATAGCATAACATAACTCAGAATAGCATAGCATAGCATAGTTTAGCATAGCAAAGATTGTGGCTTCTTTGGACTCACAGGACATTCCAAAAAGGTGGATCTTGTCTTGAGGAAGGGGGCTGAGGTCGGGGGGCACAAGCAGCGTTCCATCCGATAAGAGGAAGTCGGTCGATCGGTTTGAGCTCCACTGTCCCATCAACCCCACGGTGCGAGTAAAGAACCTCTGAGGAACCTCCACCTCTGCCCCCAGCTGCTTCTGACCCGGGACCCTCCAGACCGACACGTGCAGCCCCCCCGAATACACGGCCACGCAGTGCAGCTGGGACAGACACCGTACGGCAAAGTCACTGCGGCCAACAAACACCACTCCTGCACAGCACCAGACCCAGGGTTGGAAATCAGCAAATCTGTTTAAAAGTGTTTTAAAGTCTCACCGACAGAGACCGGGACCGTCACATCGTCCACGAGAAGAAGAAGGCCGTCTCCTGCCTCCGCACACCTCCACTCCACCTGCCAAAACACACACCCAACCTTTATCTTTGAGATCTGAAACCACTCTACAGCTAGTTATGTTAGCTAAGAAACATAGCTACTACTTATTTGTATATAGTGTATATATTGTGTGTGCTCCCTGTGTGCTCTTACTTCTGTGCGCTGCAACATCGACATTTCCCCACTGTGGGACGAATAAAGGAACTCTGATCTTATCTTATTATAGGTCTTAAATCTTATGTTCAGTGCTTTCTGTAAATTTCTCCTGTGTGAGATCAATAAAGTCTATCTTATCTCTTATCTTGTTCATCAGATTGGAAACAGAGAGTGTTTGAGGCCCAAAAGTCGGTCATTTCATGGTCGACCTCGTTTGGAGTTTGATCTTTTTCTGTGCATCGATTGTTCTCACTTATAATCAGAGTCAATTACCAGAGTCATCAGAGGCCAAATATGTGGAAGTAAGTAATCTTTATCTATATAGCACATTTCACAGACACTTCACAACTCCTCTCACGCACACACAGGATGGAAGTGGGGTTGCCACTCAGGGAATTAGTCATCAGAGGCCAAAACTACAGGACCTCAGCTTCACAAGCTCCAGCTGTTTGTTTGTGCCTCAGAGAGTTTGAAATCTAACAACCTCGTGTTGTTGACATGTTCTGTGAATGCAAATGTGAATGATCAATGATTCTTGTCTCTCTGTTATGTCAATCATCCATCCATCCATCCATTCATCCATCCATTCATTCATCCATCCATTCATCCATCCGTTCATTCATCCATCCATCCATTCATCCATCCGTTCATCCATCCATCCATCCATTCATCCATTCATTCATTCATTCATCCATCCATCCATCCATCCATCCATTCATCCATCCGTTCATTCATCCATCCATCCATTCATCCATCCGTTCATCCATCCATCCATTCATCCATCCATCCATTCATCCATTCATTCATCCATCCATTCATTCATCCATCCATTCATTCATCCATTCATTCATCCATTCATTCATCCATTCATTCACCCATCCATCCATCCATCCATTCATCCATTCATTCATCCATCCATCCATTCATTCATTCATCCATTCATTCATCCATCCATCCATTCATTCATCCATCCGTTCATTCATCCATCCATCCATCCATCCATCCGTTCATTCATCCATCCATCCATTCATCCATTCATTCATTCATCCATCCATCCATCCATCCATTCATCCATCCATTCATTCATCCATTCATTCATTCATCCATCCATCCATCCATTCATCCATCCGTTCATTCATCCATCCATCCATTCATCCATCCATCCATCCATCCATCCATTCATCCATTCATCCATTCATCCATCCATTCATTCATCCATCCATCCATTCATCCATCCATCCATCCATTCATCCATTCATCCATCCATCCATCCATCCATTCATCCATCCATTCATCCATCCATCCATTCATTCATCCATTCATTCATCCATCCATCCATCCATTCATTCATCCATCCATCCATTCATTCATCCATTCATTCATCCATCCATTCATCCATCCATCCGTTCATTCATCCATCCATCCATTCATCCATCCATCCATCCATCCATCCATCCATCCATCCATCCATTCATCCATCCGTCCATTCATCCATCCATCCATTCATCCATCCATCCATCCATTCATCCATTCATCCATCCGTCCATTCATCCATCCATCCGTTCATCCATCCATCCATTCATCCATTCATCCATCCATCCATCCATTCATCCATTCATTCATTCATTCATCCAACCATCCATCCATCAGTCTTAACCATGTGTATTTTCTGAGCAGTTTTGTGACATATTTGTGTTTGGGAAAGACATTCTCACTACGATAGAAACCTCTGGCACAGCCCACACAGACCTTCCCGATGCCCTGGTGGAAGGCGGCCATGCGCACCACCGCTGGGACCTGGGGGTGGACCCGGCCGAGGTTGGAGCTCAGACGCTGCTGCTGCCCTTGGAGAGTGAAGATATTGGAGCCCGAGGGCGAGGACAGGCGCACGATCACAAACTCTCCCAAAGCTTTGAACGAGTACTCGGACCCATCGAAGGTGATGAAGTGGAGGCTTCCAAACACCGACGCTGAGAACAGGGATGAAGCACAGATAACGGTCACACGGTCGTCATAGCAACAGACGGGTAACAGCTAGTGAGATAACAGTCACACGGTCGTCAGAGCAACAGACGGGTAACAGCTAGTGAGATAACAGTCACACGGTCGTCAGAGCAACAGACGGGTAACAGCTAGTGAGGCGGTGAATGAGGTCATAACTACTTTAATCAAGTGGTGTTTATCCTACTCTGTGTACAGTCTGACAGTCTTATCCTCACCAACACTGCACAAAGTTATGAAAAATGAACCTTACTTTGTGTACAGTCTGACAGTCTCCAGACTCTCCAACAGGACGATGTCCTTTAGTCTTAAACTGTTGCTTTATTTTCTCATTCTTTTCTTTAATAAGTTTGTCCCATTTGCAAATCTTATTTTAAGGCAGTGTGTGTTTCCGGTGTGTGTTTCCAGTGTACGTCTTTCCGGCGTGTGTGTGTGTTTCCTGATGTGTGTTTCCAGTGTGTGTCTTTCCGGTGTGTGTCTTTCCGGTGAGTGTGTGTGTGTTTCCTGGTGTGTGTTTTTCCGGTGTGTGTGTGTGTATCCAGCCTCACCCACGCCCTGCCCTGACTTCTTGGCTGTGCTGCAGTTGCTGGGGCTGGACCAGCAGTACCCCTGGCAGCGATCCAGGGGGCGCTGTCTGAGGTAGAGGTCACACAGAGAGGAGTCGATGCAGCACCACTGGAACGGCAGCAGGTCTTCATCTGCAACACAAGACACACAACAAATATATAACAAATACAACACACAACAAATATATAAACTCTGACCCCACACCTCTCCCTCATCAGGTGGTTCGGGTCAGGGTCAGACCCTCTCTGACCCAACACCTCTCCCTCATCAGGTGGTTCGGGTCAGGGTCAGACCCTCTCTGACCCAACACCTCTCCCTCATCAGGTGGTTCGGGTCAGGGTCAGTGATTCATATTTTCAGTCATTTTGAATGTTTTTAATGTGGATAATGATTTAACAAAGAGATGGTTTATTTGATTTTTAGATAATTTGACTTTTGGATAATATCGTTCTTAAATAACATAGAAATGTCTTTAATGATCAGATTAGACTGTGGAGTGTTTGGAATGACTTTCCTCCTTTAGAGAAAGATTAAGTCAGATGTTTAGATTCTTCATATCTCCCACAGAGGGGGAAATGTCAGTGTTGCATTGTTACAGAAAAATGAGGAGCATTCAGGACAAATGAACAATAACTCTGATCAAAGTATAACATACTGACTCTGATCAAAGTATAACATACTGACTCTGATCAAAGTATAACATACTGACTCTGATCAAAGTATAACATACTGACTCTGATCAAAGTATAACATACTGACTCTAGTCAAAGTATAACATACTGACTCTGATCAAAGTATAACATACTGACTCTGATCAAAGTATAACATACTGACTCTAGTCAAAGTATAACATACTGACTCTGATCAAAGTATAACATACTGACTCTGATCAAAGTATAACATACTGACTCTGATCAAAGTATAACATACTGACTCTAATCAAAGTATAACATACTGACTCTGATCAAAGTATAACATACTGACTCTAGTCAAAGTATAACATACTGACTCTAGTCAAAGTATAACATACTGACTCTAGTCAAAGTATAACATACTGACTCTGATCAAAGTATAACATACTGACTCTGATCAAAGTATAACATACTGACTCTGATCAAAGTATAACATACTGACTCTGATCAAAGTATAACATACTGACTCTAGTCAAAGTATAACATACTGACTCTAATCAAAGTATAACATACTGACTCTGATCAAAGTATAACATACTGACTCTAATCAAAGTATAACATACTGACTCTAGTCAAAGTATAACATACTGACTCTAATCAAAGTATAACATACTGACTCTGATCAAAGTATAACATACTGACTCTAATCAAAGTATAACATACTGACTCTAGTCAAAGTATAACATACTGACTCTGATCAAAGTATAACATACTGACTCTGATCAAAGTATAACATACTGACTCTGATCAAAGTATAACATACTGACTCTGATCAAAGTATAACATACTGACTCTAGTCAAAGTATAACATACTGACTCTAGTCAAAGTATAACATACTGACTCTGATCAAAGTATAACATACTGACTCTGATCAAAGTATAACATACTGACTCTAGTCAAAGTATAACATACTGACTCTGATCAAAGTATAACATACTGACTCTGATCAAAGTATAACATACTGACTCTGATCAAAGTATAACATACTGACTCTAGTCAAAGTATAACATACTGACTCTGATCAAAGTATAACATACTGACTCTGATCAAAGTATAACATACTGACTCTGATCAAAGTATAACATACTGACTCTAATCAAAGTATAACATACTGACTCTGATCAAAGTATAACATACTGACTCTAGTCAAAGTATAACATACTGACTCTAGTCAAAGTATAACATACTGACTCTAGTCAAAGTATAACATACTGACTCTGATCAAAGTATAACATACTGACTCTGATCAAAGTATAACATACTGACTCTGATCAAAGTATAACATACTGACTCTGATCAAAGTATAACATACTGACTCTAGTCAAAGTATAACATACTGACTCTAATCAAAGTATAACATACTGACTCTGATCAAAGTATAACATACTGACTCTAGTCAAAGTATAACATACTGACTCTAGTCAAAGTATAACATACTGACTCTGATCAAAGTATAACATACTGACTCTGATCAAAGTATAACATACTGACTCTGATCAAAGTATAACATACTGACTCTGATCAAAGTATAACATACTGACTCTGATCAAAGTATAACATACTGACTCTAGTCAAAGTATAACATACTGACTCTGATCAAAGTATAACATACTGACTCTGATCAAAGTATAACATACTGTAGCGACCCTGCATTTATGTTATGTTAATGCTGTTATTTCATGTTATTCTTCACGGTTTAGTGCACTTACAGGATTGGTTCTGAGGATGGAGGGGCGGGCCTACTGGGGGGGTTAGAGAAGATTGTTTTGATAATGCGGTCTTTTTACCCGGGACTGCGAACGGGCTGTTGTTCTGCTAAGTTGTGGACTTGTATTGGCGTGGTTACGGCCGACAGTAACCATCTTGTATTAAAGCAACAAGTAGAACACTGTCTCATTCATTACCTCGAGCCAGGACGTTACACTGGTGTCAGAAGTAAAAAGCCCGAGTTCGTCTCCGAAGCCCGGTGATCGCTCCTAGCTTGTGTCGGGGTCTGCTCGTCCGCCCGTTTGATATGTCGATGCCATCGGGGAAGTCCGGTGCTCGCCCGAAAATCAAGAAGGAGGTGATGGACAGTGACTTTGAGACCCAGTCCCGGAGGCACGATATGGAACAAAGTCGACGTTCTGAGCACTCTGCTCATATAAGACGGGTAGCCGCGGAGATGGCAGCGGAGGCGGGTTTCAGCGGCGGGAGCGCCAGAGGACAAGCCCCGCCCGCCATGATTGACAGGTCACCAAATTCAGACGAAAATGGCGGCAGGGAACGACTGCAAGTTAAGACTCCGAAATATTCAGGGAAAGCAGACTGGGAGGCCTTCTATGCCCAATTTGAACTGTTGGCTGGGGCAGCTGGCTGGTCTGTAAAAGTAAAAGCACTCCAGCTGGCTCTGTGCCTTACTGATGATGCCCTGTCATGCTTATTGCTGTTAAGCCCAGCTGAGAGAGATGATTATGGGGCTTTGGTTGGGGCCCTCCGGAGGCGTTTTGGACAATGTAGCCAACCCGATGTCCTGCGCTCAGAGCTGGCTAGCCGACAGAGGTTGACAGGCGAGCCACTCAGGGGGTTGGCTAACGATATTGAGACCCTGACAAGACGAGCTTACGCCCATATGCCCCCTGAAGTACAGAGTGAGCTGGCCAGGGACCAGTTCATTCGTGCCCTGGCTCCCAGAGAACTTCGCGCACAGACACAGCTGGCACATCCTAGATCCCTGCAGGAGGCACTGGAGCTCGCCCTAGAGAGAGAGGCCGTAGGTTCAGCGTCTGAGAGTGGCCCCATTGTGAGGACAGCAGTGCGGGAGGACCCAGGTCAAGAGAGGCCTGCCTGGGTTGCTGAGCTGACAGAACTGATCCGAGCTGTGACGTTACAACCACAACGCGGCGGTGCCCGCCCGCGCCGTGGCCCTCCAGTGTGCTGGACGTGTGGCCAGGCAGGCCATATCAGTGTGCGGTGCCCCCAGAACTCGGGCGGTCAGGGAAACGCTCCGGGGTCTGTGTAAAAGGGACCACACAGGCCCCCGCCCCTGTGTCCCACCCTATCGTTTCACATGTGTACGGGGCCCAACGACGCAGTCGGGGGAGCGGGGCTCCACTCCCCCCAGAAGCAGATGACAGCGACATCGAATCTTCGAGGGTGGTGGGCTGGACGCACTTTGGGAATTTTTGTCATGTTCCTGTTACTTTGAACAGGGCCCCATGCACAGCCCTGGTTGACACGGGTTCCACCGCAACACTAATGAGACCCGACATGGTGCCACCTGGGACATTACTAGAACCTACTGTTGTAAAGTTGCGGACTGTGACTGGTGAACTCGCTCCTATGCTTGGTCGGGGATTAGTGACTATACAAGTGGGGGAAATGTCTGTGGATTTTAGGGTGTGGGTCGCTGCAGTGAAGGACCCCTGTATTTTGGGTCTTGACTTTTTGAGGGCCGCTCACTGTGTGCTCGATCTTTGGCAGTAACACTGTGACATTTCCGGGAAGCCCCTCAGTTGAAATGGTGCCCCCTGAACATGTCCAAAGTCAAGCAGCGTCTAAAGCAGCAGAGGTGCACCAGAAATACGTGCCACTACCCCAGTTTTCTGCTCCAGTACCCACCAACCCGCAACATGCAATGGCAGCTCTACCTCCTGCACTGGAACAGTTACCTGCAGTAAGAGAAATGGACAGGGTCGTGGCCGTAAAAGAGATTTGGGAACGTAACTGCACCACTTTGGAAACCAGTCAGCGGGAAGCTTTATGGCAAGTGCTACTGCAGTACAAAGACATCTTTGCCCTTTCTGAAGAGGAGGTGGGTCTAACACACTTGGTGCAGCACGAAATAGACACTGGAGATGCGCACCCGATCAAAACGCGCCCCCGCCGACTCCCTCTGGCGCATCAAGCGGCTGCTGATAGCGCAATTGACGAAATGCTCGCGGCTGGTATTATCGAGCCGTCAGATAGTCCCTGGGCTTCGGGGGTTGTGATGGTTAACAAGAAAAATAATCAAAAAATGCGGTTTTGTGTGGACTATCGACCGCTGAATAGCATAACAAAGAAAGACTCATACCCGCTACCACGTATTGATGAGTCCTTGGACATGGTATCTGGCTCTTCCTGGTTCTCATCATTAGACCTGCGCAGTGGATACTGGCAGGTCCCCCTGAGCCCCGATGCAAGACCCAAGACCGCTTTTTGCACCGGCAGGGGATTGTGGCAGTTTAGGGTCCTCCCCTTCGGGCTATGCAATGCCCCGGCCACTTTTGAAAGGTTGATGGAAAAAGTGCTAGCTGCTGTCCCCCGTCAGGAATGTCTCGTTTACTTGGACGACATTCTGGCCCATGGCGGCTCTTTTGAGAGGGCTTTGGATTCTCTCCGGCAGGTGCTGCAAGGTATCGCGGAGGCCGGGCTGAAACTCCACCCCAACAAATGCTGCTTCATGAGAAGGGAATTGGAGTTTTTAGGGCACAAGGTTGGTGGAGAAGGCATCAGCACTCTGGAGGAAAAGGTACAGGTTGTCAGGGACTGGCCAATCCCC